ATTTCCTTTCCTACTGGAAAAAGGATAGAGTGTTTTTCAGGTGGAGGTGGAAGGGGGTACAGGACCACCCATCAGCTGTTGGTAACAATTACAGTTGGAAGAGTCCCCACGAGTAAACAGAAAAATGATATATTATTTGCCAATGTATAGAAAGTTAAAATTTCAGTGGTTTATATTTTAGAACAAATCAGCACAGCAATTCTTTGATTTTCACTAAAATGACCTTTTTCAAAAAAATGAATCTAATTACTCATGTGTGAAAGCTCTGCTGGAGGGGAAAAATCCCTGTGTCCTATTCTGGTACGATTTAAATGGAAACTGATAAGAAAGTACAGTTTCAGTCTGAAATACTACAATACTAATGTTTCAAGTCAGAGAGACAGTACAGTATGGTGGGGAAAAGGCTCCAAATTCAGCCAGGACCTAGATCTAAGTTCAAACTTTGCCCTATGCCAGCTGGGTGACCTTGGGTAGTTTCTTAAACTCTAAGGCTCTATTTCTTCATCCATAAAGTGTCTAGTTTCAGTTGCTGTAAGGATTACAGATAATCTCTCTGAGACATTTAGCATGATGCTTAGCATTTGAGAAAGAATATCAAAACTCCTCCTCCACTTCCTACAAAACAGTAAAAAAAAAAGAGGCTGAGGCAGACTGCTAATAAGGTATAAAGTCTTAAGCGGTTATCCATAAGCATCCTAAAAATAAATTGAATCAAACCACCTATATAATGCTGTCTTTTTAGAAATGAAAGTAAAAACAATGTTTTTCTCCAGGAATCACCTATAAAATGTAATTGCCTCCAATTTTTATTAAACTAGAACTTCTACAAAAATGTCATGGAAATTTAAAACTTTCACAAGATATCTCTCACTTAACTATACCAAAAATACTGTTTCATAGAGCCTGTATATTTAGTAAGTAAAATATGCTTAGTATATTTACCTTTGCTTCCTAAGAAACTGTGAAAAAACAAAAATGGAGCAGACTGCTAATAAAGTGTAAAATATTATCTTCCCAGCTTTCCAAGTTATCTTGTAAAATGTTGATAAAAATTATTCTACAAAAGGCAGACAAGCCATTCTCATTAATCAAATGTTTCTGATTAACATCAAGCATATGTCTTGATATTAATGATTAATAAAATATCTAATCAAATACCTATCCTAAGATGCTTAAGTTTCAAATTGAATTTTATCTGCTTCTTTTTCAGATATTTATCCTTTTTAATTAAGTGGCCCTTTGGTGCAATCTTTGCTATACTAGACAATATTATATGTGACACTATTTAGAATATAAGATCTTTTCTGTGTAGCTTAATATTTATAAATCTCAGCAGACTGGATGTTCAGGAAATGACCCCTTCACTTCTTTTCCCATTGGTACAAAGACAAAATTAAAGCTTTCTGAACTAAAATAAAGGCATATATGTTTTGAACTAACTATTAAGAATAGCTCTAGGTGACAGCATTGTACCTTTATCACTGTACACAATTAAAAATTAAATTTCAACAAGTAGCTTCTTATAAGATAAAAGCTCATGATCAATCTCTATAAATGAAAATCTCAGTCTTACCTTTTGGATCATTATGAGTCAAGAGCTGTATGTCAAATTGTTTAGCAAATGCAGTCAAATCGGGTGGCATCACACAGCAGGAGGCCAGATTAACTTGGTTACTATTTGGTTTTACCTAGAAGTGGAGAAAAAAAAAAATGACATCTCCACTAAATTAAGTACTACAAAAAGTAGAAAGCAATAAAAGGATTCAGTTTTAGAACATATGAAATATCACATTCTACAGTACTTAAAGTTTATAAAATACTTTTACATGTATATATTTATTAATGTATGCTGTTCTGACTCAGTGGTAACAGAGGAAGGAAAAATAGCTCTACAAGGGGGAAAAAGCCAATATATTACTACACTATTAAAAAAGTCTCATGCTCGAACCTGCCATGTAATACATCTGCCTTGGAAACTAACACAATTCTAAGTGGTATGGCTCCACCTACAAAGGAAGTATGTCTTAAAGATAGAGGATCAAATACAAATGATAAGTATGTTTAATATTGAAGTATACAATATGGTTATTAGTCAGACATTTGAAAAAGAGAAGAATCAGGTAATTTCTAATAGATGCTCTAGTTAATTTATAGATACATTTCAGATCATCTAAGTCTCTCCAACAGGATCTTAGCCACATTCTGGCTATCACCAAGCTAAAGGGACAAAGGGCAACTTTTCTCTAGGGTCTTCCTGCCCATAAGAAAATGAAAAGGCTGGGGATTATAAATGCAAAAGAATAAAGAAAAATACAGAGAGTAAACTACTTGTAAGCAAGTTCCCTAATCATTTTACAGGTTATTAGGCTAGAGAATGGCAGTGATTGATTTATGACTCCATCTCCGCACCGAGTTCTGTGAACAGAAGGTCTTATTTATCTTTAAATAACAGAGCAAAATATTTGTTATATATGATATTCTCTCACTTAGGAAATTAGAACCATGGATTAATAAAACCTAAAGGAAAACATAATATTTTTATCACATAATTAAAACTGAAGGAAAGAGCCTTAATTCATTTGGCTATGAATGCTTCAACACACACTTTCTAGTGTTATTGTCAAAGCCTGCTTCAAAACTCCCATATTTGGAACAGTCACCCCACAGTGGTGTCCACTATGTGCATGATGTTTAATGGGATGCAGCAAAAACTGTAAAAGACAGGCTCCTCCTGGAGTGCTCGTGATCTAGGCGTCTTTTACCTGTGCCCACTGATACAGCTGTTCCAACTGGGTTTTGTCCAGATCAGAGGTACCTATAGCAACGATCTTTTTGCTGTGGACTAAGTTTTGTAATTCTTCCCAGTAAGGCTGCAAATGCTCCAAGGAAAGATTAACTCCATCTTCAATAGGAGGTGAAGCAATGATCACAGAATCCAGCTGTGCAACTCCAAGGACTGAACAGGCTGATGTGAAGGAAAACACAAAGAGGATAAATGTTTGTTACATAATAAAAACAAGCTGCTTCTAATGTCCTTTAAGTACGCCACTGAATTCTGTCCATATAGTTCACTAGTATTCTACATAACAGATTATTTCATTAGGTTTCATAATTTACCTGTCATTTAGAACATTTCCATCTTTTAAAAAAGTATAAAGTGCCCATTCATCTACTTGGTCTATGTGGCAGACATGTGGGTTTCTTTGACCTGCCTCATTCCTGGGGAAACTCACAACTACTACAGGTTCCTCTTTCTGAGGAACAGGCCTCCTTGTTTCCTAGGCCCCAGGACTTTTTGGTAGCTTCTGACCTAATAGTCTATAATTGGTAGTCAGAGCAAAGAATAAGCTTGAGACTCTGAGTGAAAGACTGAATTTATGGTCTTAACCTATATATTAATCTATGTTTATAGATGTAGATAATCTCTTAATTTTTATAAAAATAATTTTAAGAGTTTATATTTAATGATTATTGTTCACTCCATAGTTATATCAAACAGCTATTTAGTTAACTGTTCAATGTATATAAATACTGGAAGAATATTTTAAAATAAAAAACACTGAATAACTATAATGCCATAGTAACCTAACCAAGTGCTGAAAATAGATAAAAATGCTTCTTTCTGTTGTTGTTATTCTTTTGATATTTCACCTGTAGTACTAAAAGAGTTAAGAATATGATTAAGGAGAATTTCTATCTCTAAACATATAGTTAACATTTAATTATGTTACATCTTTTACATTCCTTTTCTATATCAAAATATGACCTTACATAAGTTGATGTGATTCTACAGAAGCCTTAACAAATTAGGCTAGAACTTTAAAAGATAAAATTGCAATGAGCTCATTTTCTTTTTTACCTGGACCTGAACACAAGATATAGCTAATATACCTACACTAATTTAAAGTCCACATGAAAATACAGTTGAAATTTTGCTTACCCATGTCAACTGCATTTCTAGTTGATGATGAAGCGTTTGATCCTACAATGAACAGTTTTGCTGGGTGACAAAGAAAACAAAACAGATTACTATATTTGAGTAACATTCTACATAGTAGTAATACTGCTAAAATATTAAGATGACAGATAATCCTGAATGAATTTTTTCCTTTCCTAGTTGCATTGTTTTATAGTTTTCATTTTAAGACCTAAAAGTATCTTTCCACTGTAATTTTACAATTATATGCTAGTTGCCAACAATAATCTGATTGTCAAAACAAAAAAGCAAATATTAATTTCCCCTTTATTAGAAGGCAGGGCAGATAAATATAGAAACTTATTCAAAATGTATATTTTTATGAATTAAACATTAATGGAGCATATTATTTTCTCCAATAAACTAAAGTCTACATAAAGCCTAAATTAGAATTGCTTATAATGAGAAGAAAATTGAAAAAAAAAACCCAAAACCGGAAAACAAACACTCCACAATCCTACCCTCCTAATATTGAATACAATCATTTTCATTTTTAGACGACACTACCTTCAAGTTCTTGGTCATATAAAGCAGAGTATATATTTTCTACTTCCACATACTTGGTTTACCCTTATGTAACAAATATTTTTACATCTCTATGCAGTATTATCTTAATTTTTAAAAAAATCGTAACAGTAATGTATTCACTCTAGAAATGAGGAAAACCTATAGGAGTAGGGGGAAAAAAAAACCCAAACAAACAAAAAACTCTACCAATAGTCTCATCACCAAAAGCAATTAGTGTTTAGATTTTTATGTACTCTGGATTTTTCTTTTCTTTCTTTTTTTTTTTTTTTGGCCGCATGGCTTTTCGGATCTTAGTTTGCCAACCAGGGATTGAACCCGGACCCTCAGCAGTAAAAGCAGAGTGCCAGGGAATTCCCCGTACTCTGTATTTTTAATGATTAATTTTATACACTCATTTTTAATGGTGAACATTATTCTGTAATTTTGATAGGGTATAATTTACTGAATGATTTCCTACTTTTTGGACTTTTAGATTAGTTCCAGTTTTTTGTTACTGAAATAAACATCTATGCTAACTTTTTTTTCAACTTTATGCCTGAAGCATTTCCCAAGGACAAACCGTCAGAAATGTGATTATGAGTCAAAGAATATGATCTGTTTTTTGTGAGCTGTGTTCTATTTTATTTACCTCCTATTTTATAAAAGATTTGTACCAGTTTACCAGAGCACTAAAAGTTAGGAGTTGCTCTCCTAACAATATAGGATGCTATTAAACAAAACAAAACAAAACAAAAATATATATATATTTGCTAATTTGATAGGTACAAAATATACCTGCTCAGAACCACATTAACTGGCATTTCTTTGCTTACCAGGAAAGTTGAGTAGTTTTTCATATTTATGAAACTGAGGCTTTGGCTTGATTTCAACTCAGCTTTATATGTATATATTTACTTTATGTAAACTCACTGTTCAAACATCTAAATTTACTCAACAAATAGGTGGAGTAATAGGAAAGCAAAGAGGAAAATCAGAAAGGGGAATGGAGAGAAAACAGGGTTAATGAAACACCCTTATGTAAAGTGCCTGGCATTCAACATATACAACAAATTTTCCTTGTACAACATTTCTTACATTTGTCATTTCCTTTCTACTGCTAGATAATCTTCCTAAAACATTGCTTTCCTCATGTTACTTCTCTACTTAAAAGCCATCACAACTTCCTTACCAGGTGAGGGTCAATCTTCACCACTTTGCTCCAGCCTTAGCTCCTGTAATTATACTCTGTGAACACCCTCCCCATCACTATCCCTCTGGCCATGAATTTGTGCCACCTGAAATGGTCTCCTCTCTCTGAAAGATGAGGCATTTTTAGGTAGGTGAAGAGAGGAAAGCTCTTGATACTTATCAAAAACCTCAAGCCTTCCAGGAACTGAGGACAACTTGTAAGAGCTCCAAGATGGATCTACACCACGATGAACTGCAATCAACCACAGAGAAATATTGCTCTGATGTCCTTTCCAACACAAATAATAACGTGAAATTAACAGAAAGAAATGGGTTTTGTAGTCAGGCATACCTGGATGGATTCCTGGTTCAACCACTTACTTGCTGTATAACAACTTTCAAGTTATTTTTTTTTAATTTATTTATTTTGCGGTACGCGGGCCTCTCACTGTTGTGGCCTCTCCCGTTGCGGAGCACAGGCTCCAGACGCGCAGGCCCAGCGGCCATGGCTCACGGCCCCAGCCGCTCCGCGGCATGTGGGATCTTCCCGGACCGAGGCATGAACCCGTGTCCCCTGCATCGGCAGGCAGACTCTCAACCACTGTGCCACCAGGGAAGCCCAACTTTCAAGTTATTTAATGTCACTTGTGCAATGGGGATAATAAACCTACCCTGCAGAATTGTTTTGAAAATTATATGAAGAAATATAAGCATAAAGTGTCAAGTACAGTGCCTGGTATAAAGCAAGATTCAACAAATGGTAGTCATTATTATTAGAGTCAAAAGACAATGCCCTATCTCATCTTACATGTTCATCCTAATAAGAGTAATAATAAAATAACAACAACCACAACACAACCACAAATGGTAATAAATAACAGCTACCTGGCACTGACTTGTGCCAAGCACCATGCTAAGTGCTTCTTTTGTTATTTCATCTAACTTACAAAGAAGCCTGTGAAATAGGTGTATCCCCATTTTATAGGTGAGGAAACTGAGCTCAGAGAGGTTAAATCATTTGTTAGCCCCAGATTATTATCAGTCAGTAATCTGCACATCCAGGAATTTCAATTTAGTTAAGCTCAAGCATTTAATGACTATGTTATGCTGAGTGTAAGCTGAGAACAAGAACATCTTAATTCCTTGAGCTTAGCATTATCTCTGGAAAGTAGGAGTCATTTCACCTTTGTTGAATGGGTAGAGTATGTATTTGATTTCTCTTCATGCAACTTGTTGCCAAGACTTCTTTCTCTGCTCCCAGGCAACCTCAGCCATTGCTTAGCAGTATCACACCAGGAAGGGAGGGCTTATGCTGGCTTTAGGTGGGCAATGCTCTTAAGTCTTCCCTTTATTCTTTCCATTTCCTACACCTTACTCTTCCTACTGCTCTGATGTCCTACAAATAAATTAATGAGAACATCATGAAGAGGTGAAGTTCTATTCTGACTCCATGGAAGTAGCCAATAGTGACCTCCTATAACTCCCTTTTTAAAGCTGACTTTAAAATTATGTTATAAAAAATCTCTATATTTCCCACACTTAGTGATTGAGTTACTCATTACCAGAAGTAAGGAAAGGTTTAGTCCCATGCCTGACAAAACCTCACTAACATCCACTGTATAACAAAATGAACTGTAAAGGCTGGACTTTACCAGAAACTTTCATTTCTTCTCTTTCGTCGGGATTTATCTTTTCTACTGCATGAGATACAGTACATTCCAAGACATCTGGACACTCCTATAATAAACACATGATATTTACAATAAATATAAAATTAGTGTTTCTGATTAGCTATATATTTTCTATTGTCCATAACACTCTTTAGAAGCAGAGAACCCATAAAACAATAGAGTTCTTTACCTGAGGCCTAGATGGGCTTCATAACGTTTGTAAAGCCCTGAAATAAAGATAAAGTGCTGTGTGTGTGTGTGTCCATTTTCTGGGAAAAAGTGTCTCATTTTGATGAGATACTCAGAGGGATGTCTGATCAAAAACAAACGAATAAACAAACAAGCAGATTGGGCAGTATGTGAGGAGTTAGAACCACTAACACAGTAAACACTTTTACTCAGAAAAGAAACCAATGAAAAGTAAGTAATATTTTCCTTCTGGATACTGACATGTTAAAACACTTCCTATATATCAATCACAAACATTTTAAGCCAAAATATATTTTTTTCTGAATGCAATGGAAAAAAAGTAAAGGTGATTCCAATGCATAAAAATGAGTAGTTAATGAGTGAGATGATAAAATATTAGTACACATAAATCAGAAACATACTAACTCACATTTACAAGATTAAAACAAAGTAAACGGTGAGGATTTTCCCATGATTCTTGATCATATTACAATGCCTGGCACATATTAACTATTTACAAGTCATGCACAGATGAATGGTCACTTCAGAAAAACAGAGACAGATAGAAGACATTAATTAATGTCTGCCTAGCAGCCACAGAGTTACAAACTTGCAGTATGCTCAAGGAAACAGTTATTTTCAGCATATGTCCTCTTCCATACTTTTTAAGTAGTCTATGTAATCTGTCACAAGCCTTTGGCTAAGTTGGATTCCGAAGAGTGGTTTACAGACAGGTGTTTTGTATATTAACATTTATGATAATGGCCGTATACTGACATTCAATGAAACACAGTTCTTTACTGTTTCGTAAGAAACTGATACTTAAAAAATTATTTTTAGTGGCTATATTTTGGGTTATAGTCTATCAAAGCAATCTACTAACCCAAATTGTTTGATAGTCATTCCTCTACTAGACCAAATATAAACTGGAACAAAACGCATTTTGAGAAAACTGTGGTGGGACTCTTAGTAGCTTGTCTAGTTGAAGAGTTGACTAGAGTCAGATTTTCTCTTTCATGCTTAGGCCTACTGGGTCAGACTCCCACCTCAGCAAATCAACCACAATAAGTTTCATGCTAATTGCCTGTTTGACTTCTCTATCAAATCTGAGGAAGTTAATTTCCTGCTTATTACATGATTTCTTCATTCACAGTTCACTCACCCTGACCAAATCTGTGCTAATTTGGGAACTCCACTCATTCAAGGTCTTCCGGATACAATCTCGAAGCTGCAAAAGAAATGCATTTTGAAACTGTTAATCATACACTACACTTTTCTGTATTTCTACAATAAGACTGCATTAGTCTGTTTAGGAAAAGGAACATATCAATAGGAAATACCATACAAAAATTTTAATTCTATAAGGTTTTTGCTTCCTTTAACAAAGATTGATTTAGACCCGTGTTTATCCTACTCTTAATTCTCAAATGTTCTTGACCTAAAGCAGTAATCTAATTATTTAAAAGGTATTTTTGTATCAATGAAAATTTAAGTAAACTTCTGAGACGTAAAAGCATTCATAAAGAAACAAAAAAATTTTTCAAGAATAAGGTTTATAAATGGAGGAACTTCAAGCCCAGGCAACCTGACTAGAATTAATATTAACCACTATGCTATATTCCTTAAAGGCAAACAAATGATTCTCTAAGTGAGGCCAAAGAAATTCCTACATTAGACTCACCTGTGGTGTTTATTAAAAGTTCAAATTCCTGAGCTGCATCCTATACCTCCTGAATCACTTTCTAAGGGCAGCAGAACTTTCATCTTAACAAGCATCCAAGTAATCAAAATGTACTCTAAAGTCTAGAAACCACTATATCCGTATCTTGCAGAAGTCAACTTGCATAAAGTCAGTCCTTAAGTCATTTCCTAACAGTTAGGTAGACCTTCGATCTGTCTTCAATGTTTTCTTATATAAACAAACAATTTTATTACGCTAACATTATAGTATTTTGTTAATTCATTAAAGTGTCTACTTATCCTTTATCGCTTATGATAGTGTATTTCCAACTTATTTAATAGTGGTCCAAAATAATAAGACATACTCACACAGTGAATAAGGACCTACATACATGTAACAACAAAAATTCATAAAGCAATCTTTTTTTTTTTTTTTTTAATACACAATGTATTTATTTATTTATTTATTTATGGCTGTGCTGGGTCTTCATTTCTGTGCATGGGCTTTCTCTAGTTGTGGCAAGTGGGGGTCACTCTTCATTGCGGTGCGCAGGCCTCTCACTATCGCGGCCTCTGTTGTTGCGGAGCACAGGCTCCAGACGCGCAGGCTCAGTAATTGTGGCTCACGGGCCCAGTTGCTCCATGGCATGTGGGATCTTCCCAGACCAGGGCTCGAACCTGTGTCGTCTGCATTGGCAGGCAGATTCTCAACCACTGCGCCACCAGGGAAGCCCCATAAAGCAATCTTTATGCTTACTACATGCCAGATACTCTGAGGGCTTCTATTATGAGTTAGAAAAAAAATACGCTTCTCCATGACTCACTGAACTGATAACACAAATGGGCCAACACTAGCAGTTTGAAATCACTGACTTATAAATACCAAGGGCACAGTGCTTTGCATTCTGTGGACAATCAATGAAAAAATAAATGAGTAACTGGAAGTACAGCCCTGAATTGCAAAAGCACTTTCCTAATACCAACAACAGAGATTAAACTTCTGAACTCACTATCTGATCTATGATTGCTTATGATAAAAACTGACACAAGCACTTTACTGCTTATATCTCAGTACAGGTAATTACAATGGACAACTGGTTTATCAATTTAAGAACCCAGAGTCACCTATTTAAGATTTATAGTCTACAACAGCAATTCATGTGCTAGCCACAATAACCCACATGAATCCAATTTACAGGGTCTATATCTTTATGAAAGGTATATCTGTAATCAAATTTAAGTTAGTAGATAAAAATAAGTTGATAATCATTCTAGACAGAATTACAAGTCAATATTCTTTGAAAAATTAATAAAAATTAAGGCAGCAGGACCAACTAGAAGTTAAGAATTCTATCAGGAGTGCTATGGCTCAAATCATGGGAGAATTTTTAGAAATTTTCCTCTGGAAGGATGGTTAATTTGCATAAGGCTTTTCTGATGAATTTCTCAATTCATGAAGATATATTTTCAGAGTGTTTGCCCCCTTCTATCAGGACAAATCATGGAAGAGCCCAATGTTACAATAATATGATAAATTCATTGACTATATCACAAACCTAGTGATTTTTAATCTTTTATATGTTATCTATATTGACTGAATATTAACCTTGTACTTTTTTGTTCTGCAATCTTTATGCTTACTACATGCCAGATACTCTGAGGGCTTCTATTATGAGTTAGAAAAAAAATACGCTTCTCCATGACTCACTGAACTGATAACACAAATGGGCCAACACTAGCAGTTTGAAATCACTGACTTATAAATACCAAGGGCACAGTGCTTTGCATTCTGTGGACAATCAATGAAAAAATAAATGAGTAACTGGAAGTACAGCCCTGAATTGCAAAAGCACTTTCCTAATACCAACAACAGAGATTAAACTTCTGAACTCACTATCTGATCTATGATTGCTTATGATAAAAACTGACACAAGCACTTTACTGCTTATATCTCAGTACAGGTAATTACAATGGACAACTGGTTTATCAATTTAAGAACCCAGAGTCACCTATTTAAGATTTATAGTCTACAACAGCAATTCATGTGCTAGCCACAATAACCCACATGAATCCAATTTACAGGGTCTATATCTTTATGAAAGGTATATCTGTAATCAAATTTAAGTTAGTAGATAAAAATAAGTTGATAATCATTCTAGACAGAATTACAAGTCAATATTCTTTGAAAAATTAATAAAAATTAAGGCAGCAGGACCAACTAGAAGTTAAGAATTCTATCAGGAGTGCTATGGCTCAAATCATGGGAGAATTTTTAGAAATTTTCCTCTGGAAGGATGGTTAATTTGCATAAGGCTTTTCTGATGAATTTCTCAATTCATGAAGATATATTTTCAGAGTGTTTGCCCCCTTCTATCAGGACAAATCATGGAAGAGCCCAATGTTACAATAATATGATAAATTCATTGACTATATCACAAACCTAGTGATTTTTAATCTTTTATATGTTATCTATATTGACTGAATATTAACCTTGTACTTTTTTGTTCTCTGCTCTCTTCATTCTTATTATACACACATCACATAGTATCATGGAAGATGAGTGTCATGATAATTTAGTGTATCATTAGATCTGGGGTTGTGTAAGAGTTTAAAAAATGCTACATGATCAAATACCCTGGTCAAAATAGTCCTATAATGGCCCATTTTAAAAACAAGATTTGATTTCATAAAATTCTAGTGAAACAAAAAATCTGGGCAGAGATCATAGAATAATTTTTAAAAAAAACATTAGACTAGAAAAGACCTTTTAGGAAATTTAATGATCTCTCTCTACCCAATGTGCAAATTTTCTCAATAATGAGTGATTTATTCAGTTTCTTTATTCAATGAGGTTAAACTGTTTCAAGTAGTGTATCCCAATTTAGAGCTCTGGTTGCTACAAAGCTCTTCTTTACATAGAAACAAAACATGCCTCTCTATTCTATTCAAGCTGTCATGTTTTCTCTACATATGCTATCATATCTTCAAGTTTTCTCAAACGTTTTCAAGTTTCTTTAGTTTTGGGTCCCTCTTACGCAGCACCCAAAGTAATATACACAAATCACAATTCATCTTTTGAACGATGTTTCTTAAACTGTGGAGTGTAACTCATTACTGCATTAAGAAATCAAGTTTTAAAAAATTAAGAGAAAAAATCAGAATACACAGTATACAGTAAGGGTTAAAATCTTTTCATGAAACTCGTGTGATTGTGTGTGTGTGTGTGTGTGTGTGTGTGTGTGTAAACCATGAATTGGACTGCCAAGGCAAAATGCATTTTTTTTTTTTACTGGGTTTGCAGACAAACTGAAAACGACTACTTTAGTATGTGTTGAGTGAGATAAGAGAGAGAAAATTTCACCCAATATTATTTACGTGCAAAATGCTGTATTGAACCATCAGCCCTGGAGAAATTAAAGGTCTAGTATAAAACACAGAAGTATTTCTCTTTCGGAGAAATAGCACAAGTGAGGGTAGTTTAAAAAAAACAAGAGAGACAAACTGAGCTGCATCCTGGGCACAATATGGTAAGGATTCTGATTCCTACTAAAGTTACAATCGAGAGCACTGACAGAGGCGGCACTGGGTGTGAAGATGCACCTGCCAAATTTTTAAAGACGCTGTGCCCGCAACAGTAGGTTCGGAGGCGACATCGCGCCGATAGCCGACCCAGCCTCCTCCGGCGGGCGGAGCCCAGGTGCGCGCCTCTCCCGCGACTACTACGCACCCGGAGCCCGACCACCCGCCCTCACCTCCCATTGCCTCCC